AGACAAACCACCTACACAAGGTTACTGCTACTGAAAAACAAGGGTATAATTAGATGCACAGTTCACCTGTTTTACCAGGAACAGAGCTTGAGTGCTTTGGACATTTGTGTGGACTTTCTGTGGTGCACAATTCCCATATCCATCTCTTGCACATTCACAGATTAACTCTGCAGCACACACAAGAAGGGTCCCATGCTTCATCACCTGCTCAGACCTAGCAAATTCTATGTACTTTAGATGTGTCGGATCCACTGAATGCGTGGACCAGCCCTGCAGTATACCAAGAGCATGTTCAGTATATCCTAAAGATGATGCTGTTGGACCCACTTGCAGGAGTTCACATGGCCCTGCTTCTACTTAAGATGCCTGTAGCCCTGTCAGACATGCAAAAATGGTGAATTCAGAAAGACCCCAATGCTACTATTAATGCAGGTCTGTATTCCCAACAGTTTGTGCCTGTGTGGTTCCTGCACAGCTTGTTGGCATACATAGATAGAAGGATTAACAACTGCACACTGTTTTGATCTGTCTTCTTCAAAAATGAAGCTACTGGTGAAGTCCTGAAAGAAGCTGCAAGGGCACATACCTTTGTAAGTGGTTCTTGTATCAGCCTTGCCGCTGGGGATCTGTCTTGTCACATGGGGGCGATATGGAGGTACTTGAGAGACAGGGTGAGAATTATAATCTTGTTTGTAAGTGGAGGTCAAATCCATACTCTCATCACTCTTGACATTCTTTTCAGATGGTTTAAGTTTCCGTGGCAACACTTCATGAGATATGTAATCTCTCCTGTGAAGAATAATTTCATTACGTCTTTTGTCTCAAGGAAAAAATTATGTTCTTTCTTCTGGACACACAAATAAATTAATACTTCCCCTTATTTCCACAGCCTAACATAGTCTGGATAGGATACAGGCAATCAGTGAAACACACAAGTCTTTCACATTTGGGGCTCTGAAAAAGGAACTGAGGCAGCTCTGGACAACCTCAGGCATGTCAGGTTCCCCCTTCTCTCCATCCAGTGAGGATAACGGCCTTACACAAAGCTATCTCTGTTCTACAATGGAAATACACCAGAAGACATAACCCCTTTTAAAAATCCAATAATTATAGCAGTCTATCTAATATGTATGGGAAACATATGAGAAAGGCAACAATAGTCTTCAAGACAATGCACTGCACAGCAGTTCAGCTGAGGTTGGGAAGAGAACAATAAAACAGTTTCACAGTAAAACAACAGGTGAGGGAAAAACCCCATCATCGTGGTCAGATAGTGATCTTTTTCTCAGGTACCACCATAAAAGAGCTATTTTAAGATACTGGAGGAGTGTTACTTAACTCAAATAAACAATTACAGAAACAAGATGAGGAAGGAAATAACATCACCATCCAGCATTCATTAACCTAAACCTGCTTCACTGCCCATATTCTTTGGTACAGGGCAGAGAGTCTACTGCCTGGCACCAGCAAATTTAGTCTCTTAATGTCAGAGTACTTTTCCACTGGTGTGCAGATCTGTTTACACCATTGGCAGACAGTGAGGAGAAAGAGTCAGTACAGTAGCTATTCTAATATAAATATAGTGCTTTGCATCTGGATGAATGGACAAGAGCCTGAACCTCTGAATATACTGTATTAGTTATGTATTTTAGCAAATAAATAAGGTTCTCAAAAGTCTGTGTGGAGCAGAAGGGAAGAGAATTATATATATGGGTAAAAACAGAAATGCAGAATTTAAAAAAATTCCAAGAGCATCAAGAGGTACTTATGTGGATGTTACACATGTTGTAATCCCTTTGCATACACTTGTCAGTAATTTAAAGCCAATGGGTTTTTTAAGAGAGGCCAAGAAAATACAAGCAGGAATACAACAACAGGCATGCAGCATCCTCAACAGCAGGGAAGGCTCAGTAACAGAGGATCTTTCCCAAGCCACTCACAGTACACTGCACAATCCCATGCTTGAAACAACTGAGCCTGTACCATCTGCAGTAACAGATTACAGGCAAACAATTCGTTACCAGTCTGATACAGGGTTTTCTGGCAGTGGGAGTACCTTTTCCCACTCTATTGCAATACAACAGAATCTGCAGTGGAAATTACAGAGAGATTGATCTGCTGTCCAATCAGTGGCAACCTGCATACAAGGCACCATGAAAAATGGTACTGCCTGTAACTCCCGACTTTACAAAGGGGGCTTGCTGTTGCAATATAACACCCAACACTCAGCAAAGTGTTATTAGAAAAGACATGATAACTTAAGTGCTTGCTGGCTTCACAGTCCCTGCAGTTATTCCCATACACTTATTCAATTCATTCTGAGTTTAGCCACACAGAAACAGAGCTTTTAGCAGCCCTCTGATAGGTGGTGGCACTTTTTGATACTTGGTCTTGATACTTTCACATTGAGTATATTTTCTTACCAGTGTTTCCCCAAGGACTGCAAGACTTGCAATTCAATAGCTGTTCAGGCTCTGTTTGTCCTCTAACAAGGTGTGCTGGTCTTGGCTGGGATAGAGTTAATTTTCTCCATAGTAACTAGTATGAGGCTATGTGTTAGATTTGTGCTAGAAACAGCGTTGATAACACAGGGATATTTTCATTATTTCTGAGCAGTGCTTACACAGTTTTTCTGCTTCTCACACCACTCCACTGGTGAGTAGGCTGGGGATGCACAAGAAGTAGAGAGGGAACACAGCTGGGACAGCTGACCCCAACTGACCTAAGGGATATTCCAGACTATATGACATCATGCTCAGCAATATAAAGCTGGGTGAAGAAGAAGAAAGAAGGGGGATGTTCAGAGTTATGCTGTTTTGTCTTCCCAAGTAACTGCTACACATGATGGAACCCCACTTTCCTGGAGATGACCAAACACCTGCTGCTGATGGGAAGTGAACGAATTCCTTGTTTTGCTTTGCTTGCTTGTGCAGGTTTTGCTTTACCTGTTAAACAGTCTTTATCTCAACATATGAGTTTTCTCACTTTTACTCTTCCAATACTCTTCCCCATCTCATTTCGGGAGAGTGAGTGAGCAGCTGCTTGGAGCAGAGTTGCTGGCTGAGGTTAAACCATGACACAAGAGTAGGCAAGTTTTACATATGTGGCAAAATTTACATATTTTGCATTTCAGTGCATTCTCTGAAGAAGCAAATAATGTAACTCCAGGAGCAACAGTTACTGTGGGAATCATTAGCCTTATCTGAGCAAGAATAGTTTTGCTGATTGAATGAGAAGTTCCTAAGGACTCCTTGAGAGACCCCACATGTTGGCTGCCCTTCCTTGCCTGACTTAAGAGGACACCAGTAAGCCCAGGAATTAGATATAGGCAGACACAAAGCTGCTTTGGCTCATGATAAAGATGGAAGGCATATAGAGAAGTGAAGTCTGCTCTTTGAAAACCTCTGATCCTTTTGGTTGTTGCTGAAAACTCCCATGTAAACAGAGGAATCCCAAATGTAAATCAGGCATTTCAGACTTCATCAGCCACATTTGTGCTTTAAATTGACACCTCTTAAAAAGGTGTATGTAGGGGAAGGAGTTGGTAGACCTTCCATGTCAGGATGACAAAGGGGTGGTGTTAGCTGTTAAGACTCTATTAATCATAGAATCACAGAACAGTTTGGGATGGAAGGGACCTTAAAGATCATCTAGTTCCAACCCTCTGCCATGGGCAGGGACACCTTCCACTAGCCCAGGTTGCTCAAAGCCCCGTCCAGCCTGGCCTTGAACACTGCCAGGGAGGGGGTAGCCACAGCTTCTCTGGGCAACCTGTGCCAGAGTCTCACCACCCTCACAGGAAAGAATTTCTTCCTTGTATCTCTTATGAATCTACCCTCTTTCAGTTTAAAACTGTTACCCTTACCCTGTCACTACACTCCCTGATAAAGAATCCCTCACCATCTTTCCTATAGGCCCTCTTTAAGTCATGGAAGGTTGCTATAAGGTCCCCCCAGAGCCTTCTCTTCTCTAGGCTGAACAACCCCACCTCTCTCAGCCTGTTCTCATAAGGGAGGCACTCCAGTCCCCCAATCATCTTTGTGGCGCTCTCTGGACCTGCTCGAGCAGGTCCATGTCTCTGTTATACCTGGGGCCCCAGAGCTGGACAAAGTAGTCCAGGTGAGATCTCGCAAGAGCAGAGTGCAGGGGGAAAATCACCTCCCTCAACCTGCTAGCCATACTTCCCTTGATGCAGCCCAGGATACAGTTGACTTTCTAGGCTGCGAGTGTACATTGATGGTTCATAGTCAGTTTTTCATCCCCAAGTCCTTCTCTGCAGTGCTGCTCTCAATCCACTCATTGCCCAGCCTGTATTTGTGCATGGGATTGTCTCGACCCATGTGCAGGACCTTGCACTTGGCCTTGTTGAACTTCATGAGGTTTGCACAGGCCCACCTCTCAAGCCTGTTCAGGTCCCTCTGGATGGCACATCCCTTCCTCCAGTGTCAACTGCACGACGCAGCTTGGTGTTGTTGGCAAACTAGCAGAGGGTATACTTGTACACTCAATCCCACTGTCCATGTAACTATCAAAGATGTTAAACAGCACTCACCCTAATACCACTCTTGAGGAATGCAACCGACCAGCCAGTTCCTTATCCACTGCGTGGTCCCTCTGTATAATCCATGTCTCTCCAATTTAGAAACAAGGATGTCATGTGTGATAGTATCACATGCTCTGGACAAGTCCAGGTAGATGATGTCTGTTGTTCTTCCCTTATCCACATAACCATGTTAATAGTAATTGGCTCCTAGGTATCTAATTCGGTTCAGCAAAGGCAAGAGTAATGTTGCTCATGACTCTGCCTGTGATGACGAAGTACAAATCAAGATCAGGCAGCAGCCACCGTTTAAAGAAATGGAAGCCCTCAGATTCATATTAAATGATCAGATTCCTATTTACTGTGAGTTTCTTCTGTAGACAAACACTTGGCACATCACTCTACCAGCAGCAGGGAAGAGCCTCAGAGGTTGCTTCCATCAGGTGAAGAAGCACAGTGCAAGTGTGAGGACTTCTTCCAAAAGCTAACACTGAGCAACATGATGGCTGAGAAGTAGAAACAGCTCAGCGATCCACAGTGACTGCCTTGAGGAAAACACCCACACTCCTTTTCCAATCAACAAGCTCCACTATATATCCACCTCCCTGGAAAGCAGTCAGTCATCTTACAGTGTACAAAGTACCACATAAAACACAGAAGAAAAGAAAAATACTCCTCAAATATCACCCATACTTTCCCAGACAAAAGTTCTGCTGGTTTCCCAGAAACCTTCCCAAAATAGAAACTGAGCAACAGCCATGACTATGACTGGGCTTCTATGGCCCATGTAATCTCTCATCAGATCACATCTGAACCTCCAGGAAGTGCACAAAATACAGTTGCTTGACTCCACTACAACATCTGACATGAAAAGGACCTGCAACCCTCCGTCATAGTGCCCTCATGAGTATTTGGGCTCCTGAAGTGAGCAACATCATTTGAAGTGCAACATTGTTCTTTTCACACTTCCCTTGTGAAAACCAGTGATTTTTCTTTTCTCTGTTATCTATCTCTTGCACACACATTATTTAAGTCACAGTCCTCACTCTCTTTCACTATTGCCATACTTCATAGTTGAGATGCCTTCCATGGGTTTCTGCATCATTTGGTACACTCGCTTTGGCTTAAATGAGCCTCTAGGAACAGTGATGGGATGAAGTGGGTATTGCTTCATGTACTCCGAGAGTAGCTTCTCACTATTCTCATGGGTCCTGGTGGGGAGTTGTGGACAACGGTGACATCTGCAAGGGAAAAAAAACAGCACAGCAATTAGTGACTCACAGGGTAGCTGAATAATAATGCCTCATTGTATAAGTCAGCTGCAGATTGCAACTACGAAATAGTGGATAAGTGACCACAGGAATGACTGCTACAGCCTTAGTTATTTAAAATGCAAAAGCAGAATCTGCAAAAAGAAACGGCTGTTTCTATCTACTACTACAGCCTGCAGTCAAAAAAGTCCATGAATCCAACAAAAATAGCCTAAGAAAACCAAATTCACCTAGATGAAGAAAAAAGCAAGTGTCATATTGTGCTGGACTAGAAATTCTGTTTAATGTCCCTTTTGTGCCATTTCTCATAAATTTATTATCCTGCTTTGCCCACATATTGAGCTCGTGTAGACAAGTGAGCAAAAAAAGGATAACAGTTTGGGAGTCTCTGTTCACTCATACTTGGGCAGCACTGCTCTGCCCATCTCACCTTCTGAAAGCACTTCAGTCTGGGTACTGCAAGATACGCAGTGCATAATATGCACCATAATGTGCACCAAAACGAGGACAGTGGGAAGTGATTTTCTGAAGAAGCTCCTGACTGACTGAAACGAAAACACCACCATGGATCATCCATCACTGGTGACCTCCTCCTTTCCATACTGGGACCAGACCAGAGCAGGGTGGGCAAGACTCATCCTGTCAAAATGAGGTTTTGGATCTCACCCTCAGATTTCTTCCTAGAGACATAAAAATCTATGTCCCTTTCTGGTTTGAATCAAACTTGCTAGAATTAATGCAAAGGTTGCTGATTAAGGACTTCAGAACCAGCCCACAGGAGTTACAGTGAGAGAAGACGGCCTCTGGTTTTATGTTTTATACATAATTCCTGCCAAAGTCAGAGTGTCCCTACTGGATGTATGTTTTCCAGTGCTATGTCTAGTGCAGATATGAATTACTCATTCAAAAGAGCTTCTATACTTAAAGTCCCTGTTAAATTACATGCTGAGCAGTCTAGAATCAGTAGATGTCTGATTACCTAAATTTATACAGACAACCTCTGGTCTACATTCAAGGATGCACCTTTATATACTGACTGATTTTCCAAACTAGTACAAGAGGGGAAGAAGGACCCAGAGGGCTCAAATGAAATGCAGCACCTTTTTGACAAGCCATTATCTCACTTGGATTACAAATCCTTCTGTGAAATCATAAATCAAGAGGAGTCATAATAGACTCATTTTTGCCTTAGAAAAGTTTTGAGTTTGGACCCAAAGGGAGTCCTTATGGAGTGTAAGGCAGACTATCCCCATCAATTAAAATATTTGAAGAAAAGACTTCAGGGTGGAAATCTCAGAAGAAAAAAAAGAAAAAAGTCCCACTCTTATGAACCTTATAAAATTCCAGCTTTCACATAACTGGAGGAGAGACAAACAAGAAAATGAAAAAAGATTAATATGCTCACTGATGCTAGTCCATGTGACCTTGCTGGAATGGATTTTGTGACAAAAAATTTCTAAATGCAGACTGTACTGACACTTTCTGGCCATATTCATGGTCTCCCAGCACTCCTAGGAATTATTACTCGTTCTCCAAGGCAAAGTGATCTGCCTATTCTTTCTGCGTCAAATCTGCTGGCTTCACATCACCCTTAAAGGCACTTTGGTCCCCTGAGTCTCTTAAAGTCTATGATGTAGCAAGCCAGTCTTCAGCTTGGCTTTGGAGTGTGTTGATGAGGGCTTTATGTTAGCTTTTTATGGTAAAACTGCACACAGACTGGAGTTGGGGAAATAGCTATACTACCTAGTTCATCATGGCGTAACATTTTGAAAATAAGGAATGGCTTATCAGGAGCAAATTAATGACACCTTACTAATACCACCAGTTAGTATCCCATTACAGCTCAACTGCACACACAGCATTTCAAGGAGCTCATTTGTGACATCAGACTTCTCAAATGGTTCAGAGCAAAAGCTTTTTGCAGCTCTTGGCCTGTACAGAGCAGGATCTTCACTACAGACACATTATCTCACATCCTGATGGACATTTGCAAGACAGAGTCCTGCACCTGCCCAAGTAACACTGTTGGCACTGCAAAGGTGAGGGGTCCTGTGGGTCAGGAGGTCAAGGGTTGGTAATGCAGGTACCCCTCCGAAGACCCCACAGGAGCAGGCAGGGTACAATAGCTTGCAAAACCTACATTTTCCACAGACACGGCTGGCAGCCCGGGATGGGAAAAAGGACAGGATTTCCTGCAGATAGCAGCAGCTCAAGGCTGCCAAGCTCTTTGCCCTAGGATGAAGTTAAGCCTTCAGCATGATCTGGCAACACAGGTGGCTTTACACTTCAAGTGTTCACCCACTCTCCATATGTACAATTCTGCTTTCTTTGTTGAACTTCAGAGCACAAAACAGAAGGAGATATTTCAGAGTTAGCTCTTAAGAAAAGCACTTCCCCACAAATAAATCCTTCCTGACATGACAGAGAAGTAAATCTGAATGTTTTGTCTTCTATTATTTCGCACTGAATTGTGATGTACACCCACAGATTTTGTAGTAACACTCACCGTATTACAGACTATGAGCAGAAAATTATCATCAGTTATAATTCACCACCAATACATGATACTATAAAAGTTTTGCTTCTGCATCTGCGAGAGAGACATATCTGAAAATATTTTTTACTGGAGACTACTGTAAATAACAGAGCAACATTTAACAACAACGAGTGGAACAATGTTAGATGTCAAGGTTTGCTACACTTTACTACTCCTTCTGACACAATAAATATTTGTAAAACAACTACATGATTCTTCATTGCTAAAGTCACTGCTATGTGACTGCAGCAAGTTGGCATGATAATGTCCAAGCTAAACAGTTAAAATTACTGTATAAACGTTTTGATATTGCAGCTGTTAAACTGTACCCTATTTTCTAGAAACTGATGAGACCTAAATTTTGACTTTTGTTATGCTTGTCTGTTTAGATATCAGGGTGTTTGAGCTAATTCTACTCTGATTTTCACTCGTGAAAATTATGCGTTACTTTATTGAGGTCTATCAAGTTAGCCTGGACAATATTAATAATAAAATGTAACAACAAGCAAGCACATAGATTTTTTTTTGCTTTCTAACCCAGACTCTCTGAGGGGTAAAAGAATGCAGGTCCCCTGTCTTCAAAGGAGTTAGGTTCATCTAAACAGAAACTGAGATAAAACATGTGAACAATTTATCACTTTAAATACTCGTTTAAACCAGGAAGGACAACCTGGAGCCATGGCTCAGGACCAGAATTCAGAAGTATGAATTTAATTTCTGCATTCATCACAGTCTCCCTACCAGCGCAGATCTCTGTCAACTAAAAATAAAATACAGCCTTCTCCAGAGGAGAAATCCTGTAAGATTTATGAATTTCTCGAGACAAGCTTCTCAGACTCACATGATTTTTTAAATGTCTGTGATTAATAATAAAAGATTATCACAGTGGGCTTAAATGCAGGTGGAATGGTAAGAAAGTTGTACTATTAAAATCCTAATTTAACCCAGTTATGTGGCTTACTACTGGTGATTACTGTTCATAGAGGTCATGGATACCATTGGTATTACTGCTTGAGAGAAAAAACATGAGGCTCAGAAATGGCTGAACTGTCATTCGGGAGAATTTAGTTTTCCCTTGTAAAAAGCATTGGCCCTCAGTCCAGCTCTTGCAGGAAAAAGCAACATCTCCTCAACCATATAATCTACTTCTTGTACCATCTCTCGTTTCCGTGAGTGGTCAGATAAGGTCTATGTTACAGAAATCTCTAGTTTAGATGAAATTATGATGCTGTCCAAAGAAACACAAGGATGTAAAAATGTGCCAAAAAAAATGGAGCAGGCTCTAATAGCAGAAACTGACCACCAGCAGTCAGGCTGTAAAGAAAATCACTGAAGGTGAGTCTTTATTTGTGCAAACCTCCTCTCTTCCAAGCAATGGAGATGCAATCAGAAGCCCAGCTACCTGACTTAGTTACAAAAGGATGGATGACAGATTAGATGTCTGCAAAAGGAAGAAGAGCTTCCATGTGCAAAGTATCAAAGTATATCACATACAAACATTGATGAAAACACACTGTGAATTCAGGCATATATAGGGTTCTGCTTTTAGATGGTGAACGGTTTTGAAGCAAAAAGTAAATGCACAATAAAAGCAAGAAATCCCTTGAGAGGTTTGAAGTTCTTGTGATCATAACAGTACAAAAAAATAGTAATCTGAAACTTTTGGAAGGTTAACTTTAACTACCACACAGCTCAGAAGCATTTTTCTTTGTGTCACGTAACAATGCTGAACTCTGGATGCCAAACTTAACTTTTTCCCCAAGCACATACCTTCACCAAATGTCAGAAGAGAAAGATCAGTAATCACCCCAAAATGAATAAAAGTGACAGTGGAGAAAGAGAAGTTCATCACATTTGCATGCCCACAGTCTTCACTGTGATTTTGGACAAAAGTTTAACAAAAGAGAAACATGTATTTGTAGATATGCAGTGCTCATCACTGCCAAACGAATGAAACATAAAATTGCTCCGTCTTCCAAATTCACCCTCATCATAATGCCCCTACTGAGAACCCAGAGCAGCTAGAAGGACTGTGCCCTGGAAGAACACAAAACCCTAGGGTTTGATATTACATGTTGTTGTGGTTGTGCCCCTTTCAAAAGCTGCAAAAAGCCATCATGGTCATCCTTTTATAGTGACCTAGTGAACTCTGAGCAAGGCTATGTATTAAGCTCACTATACTCCTCATGGCCACTCTTGCTTTTAGTCACACTTTTGTCTCACTTTCCACGTGTGCAACCAAGAAAAAAAAATCTTTTATATAATCTTCCTACTAATCTCATCTCAAATAAACCTCAA